AAAAATTAATTTTAAAATTTTGAAAAATATAAAGTCATCAGGTAGATTTCAATGGTATTGTTTTTCACATCTACTAATTATTAAGGAGAAAATTTTTATGCTTTGAAGAATTACTTAAATTTTTTTTTTTTAATTTAATAACCACATGATTAGAAGAAGCATTTCATTACAGCTTTAACATATTCAGTAACACACTCCAGAGCAAGAATGGCTGTTAAACATCCAAGAAGGTTAGTTCCACCAGTCTGGTACTTTCAGTTACCACATGCCATGTAGATACAGCTTGAGCAAAGACCAAATGCTCTCAGATAAACCTTGCCTAGGCATATATTACATTCTTTGATCTGATTGTATGTATAATTTATCAGTAGGTTGTTGGACTAATATGGTTCCCTCTGGTTTTCTAAAACTAGCTAGGCCTTGTATATCTCTCACATTGTCTAACCCTTCCACCATGGTTTCCTCATTTAAGGTGCCCCTTTTTTTCCATTTCTCCCTTAATAATACCCTTCTCCTATGGTCCCACCTCTCTTGAGCTCCTTCTTACCCTTTATCCCCTAGGTTCCTTGTATAACCTTCCCTCTCCCCTCCCCTTAAAATAACCCCATTTATTATCCATATCTCCCTTATTAACGCCTGTTTCCTATTGTCTTCTCTTTCAGATTATTTCTTTTCCTTTACCTCCCTGGATCCTTTTCATTCTCCTGGTTCCTGTAGTTAATGTCTGGATACATATTCACTTAAAAGGAATTGGTGCTAGGATCGACATTAAGGGGAGAACATATGCTGTTTTGTTTTGTTTTGTTTTGTTTTTCTGAGACTGTGTTACTTCACTTAGTATAACAGTTTCTAGTTCCATCCATTTACCTGCAACTTTCATGATTTCATCTTTCTTTACTGCTGAGTAAAACTCCATTGTATAAATGAACCACATTTTCATTATCCACTCATCAATTGAGGGATACTTAGGTTGCTTCCATCTCTTAGCTATTGTGAAAAGAGCAGCAACAAACATTGATGTACAAGTGTCTCTGCAATAGGATGAGTTCTTTGGGTATATGCCAAGGAGTGGTATAACTGGGTCAAATGGTAGGTTCATTTTTAGTTTTTTAAGAGTTCTCCACACTGCTTTCCATAGGGGTTGAACAAGCTTGCAGTCCTGCCAGCAGTGGATGAGTGTTCCCTTTTCCCCACATCCTCTCCAACATTTGGTATCATTTGTTCTCTTGCTCTTAGCCAGTCTGACTGGGGTAAGGTGAAATCTTAAAATGGTTTTAATTTGCATTTCCCTAATGATACTTCTGATGTTGAACACCTTTTAAGATGCTTATTAGCCATGTTTATTTCTTCTTTTGAACTCTCTGTTCAGCTCCTTATCCCATCTTTTAATTGGGTTACTTCCTTTCTTGATGCTTTGTTTTTTGAGTTCGTTATATATTCTGGATGTTAAACACTGTCAGATGTGTCACTGGTGAAGATTTTCTCCTATTGTGTTGGGTTTCTCTTTACTTCCTTGGTTGCTTCTTTTGATGTACAGAAGCTTTTTAGTTTAATGAGGTCCCATTTGTTGATTCTTGACCTTGTTTCCTGGGAAGTTGATGTCCAGTTTAGAAAATCCTTTCCTACACTTGTATCTTGTAGGTTTTTCCCAATGTTTTCTTCTCACAGTTTCAGAGTTCCAGGCTTTGATCCATTTGGAGTTGACTTTTGAGCAAGGTGAAAGATAGGGGTTTAGTTTCATTCTTCTACAGGTGGAGACCCAGTTTTGTCAGCACCATTTGCTGAACATGCTGTCTTTCCTCCAGTGAATGTTCTTGGCCCCTTTGTCAAATATCAGGTGGCTGAAATTGCA